TGGGTCAGGACCTGACTTTATTTTTGAATTTATTGATATGCTTATCTCTTCTCTTTGTAAAATTAGTGAATTATTCAGTGGTAAACTTTGATAAAATAAGAGATCATATTCATTTTTCTCTTGTATCTGGAGCCAAGAAGACTGAAACATTCTGTATACAATAGGAGTTCATTAAATACATTGAGTGTGAATACTTCCATTTGGGTCAGAGGTCGTTTCACACATCGAACGCTTTTCACCACAAGACAGAAATTTTCCTAGAGAGAGAAGCTTCAAATGAAAAAGAAAAAAGTTAAATTTGAAAACCGACTAATTATAGGATCCAGAGGCCAAAGTGAGATTATTTTTGACAGGAAATTGTACGTTTTTTGACTAAGTTCAAAGAAAAGAGACTATAACAACTTCAGAGATGTTTCTAGGTTAGTTGTATGGTGTCTCTATTGCACATGAATTTATTCTTGAAATTCTCTTCTCACATGTGAACAGCGATAAGTTGGAATAGAATATAGGCCAATACTAGAAATTTATTATAGTGGGAAAACAATGCTGCCTAAAAATTATAAGGATAACTTTTTAAAATTAAAATAAATCTTTGTCTAGGAGGAGTAACTCCAGATCCCTGCGATGCGTTTCATTTTGGAGGCTCTTTTCAAATGGACGGTTTCTTGATGTAAAATACTCATGATTGAATTTCATTTCTTTGCTGACAGTTGAGGGGAAATCGAACGGGTGAAATACCATAGATTCGGTTGGATCTTAAATAAAGCAATGTGATCAATATAATTCCACTTGTTGGAATGTTCTGTTTCTGTTGTTATATTATCATATATCACATGGTTCAATATCAGACATAGAATGATTTGATCCTTGTGTTTAACTCTTCTTCCTGAATTTGAATCCAGGGGCCACTAAATACAAAAGCCCACTTCCTACAGCTTCTACGTCTTCTTTATTGGGTTTATGACAATGATTCTGCAGGTGGGCAGAACGGGCAGCCAAGTGGGAGATAGTAAAGATATGGAGGTATGCCTTACTGGGAGGGTAGGCTTGTGTATTAGTTTTCTGGGGTTGCCATAGTAAACTACCACACACTGGTGGATTAAAACAATAGGAGTTTATTTTCCTACAGTTCTGGAGGCTAGAAGTCTAAATCAAGGTGTTGACAGGGTTAGTTCCTTCTGAGGGATCTGAATAGAATCCTTCCTTGTCTCTTCCCAGCTTCTGGTGGTGGCCACCAATCCTTGGGCTTCCTTGGCCTGCAGCCACATCACTCTAATCTCTGCTGTGTCCTCACATGGTGTTCTCCCTGTATCTCTGTGTCTTCACATGGATGCTTCTCTCTGTGTCTCTCTCCCCTTCTTATAAAGGCACCAGTCATATTGGAGTAGGGACCCACGCTACTGCAGTAGGACCTTATCTGAACCTACCTAATTAATCTGCGATGACCCTGTTTCCAAATCAGGTCACATTCTGAGGTACTGGGGGATAGGACTTCAACATGGCTTTTTAGGGGGATGTAGTTTGCCTCATAACAGCTTCTGATGTAGAATTCCTTTCTAGAAACAATTCTGTCAATTTTTAGAACAACCCTTTCATAAATAATTTTTTGATTTGGGAAATTACTGGAAAAGAAGGGGGATCAACTTGCAGGTTACAGGGAACAAAACCAGAGAACCTCAGAGCTGAAAGATTCCTCAGAAAACCTTCAGTTTGGTGATTTCCTTTTCTTTTATTTAAAATGATAAAAATAACACATGTTCATGGTAAAAAAAAAATGTATTCAATTGTATCGAAGAATGGAATTCCTTCCTCATACACTATTCCTTGTCTTTAGAGGAAGTCAATGTTAATTTGTATATTTGTTCCTCCTGAAATGTTCTGTGTTTATTCAAGAATATATATGTATAAATGGAGCTATGCTAAATATACTTTTGAGCCACTTGCCTTTTTTATTTTATAATACAATTTTTAGCCCAAAGGTATAGCATACTAGTTTTCAAAATGAACTCTGTACAGCGCTGGGCTACACACAGGTGTTTCTGGGGCTATGAAAATTCAACACTTATTTTTGCCAAACAATTAAAATGTATACTGCTTGAGGGTCTCTTTTATCACTTTTATCTATTTTTTATTTTGGGGGGGGTTCCTTAATAAGCTTTCATTTAAAAATAAGAGTTTTATTGTGAGAAGGGGGGTAGAGAAAGATGGACTAGATTAGAGGGATTTGTCTCTTTTCGTCTCCTCATATAATAGCTGAGGAGGTAGAGGCCCAGAACGGGGAGTTAAAGGACTAACAAAAAGCAGTGCACCAGCCCTGCTCTGCCACACAGCACAGAGCTCGCCCGGATTGGTGGACATCTGATGTCACATTGGTGGTACCTTCTCTTTTACCCTTGTTTCTCAAAGCCTGGATCACGTGGCTCTAGGCTCTTTGCTTCAGCATTCTGGAGTGAACTAGGATTGGGATTTTGGTGGAGGGGTGTGTGGATTGAAGTGCGGGTGCAAGAAAACTAGGGGTTCTGGTGAGAAGGTAGTTCAGGAGATCACACAGAGACTAAACCAGGTGGAGAAGGACGCAAAGTTGGGAGGGCCAACATATGAGAAAATGGAGGCTTGGGAGAAGGTAGAGTGGGTGCAAGGAAGTAAAACTGACAGCCCAGGGGGCTGTTGGTCAGGGACTGAAACACTTGCAAATATGGTGGGAGGAAGCAGTTCTTGGTGACGAAACACTGCAACCTCTAGTTGTGGGTGATGATGAATGAATCGGAAAGTAGGTGAAGCGAGGGGAGGAGTCCAGAGGCATGTTAGGGAAAAATCTTTACCTCATTGCTTGGTTCCTCGAAGCTTAGGCTTCGGAACAAGCTTCTGAAGAGAGCTAGGAGGGATGTAGGTTCTGGATACCGCCAGGAAGAAGAAGATGCAGGGAAGTACATTCCAGAGGAGGCGATGAAAACTCTGGGGAGGGAGGACGTCTCTGAGAGATATCAGCGAAGAGAAAGCACAGAGAAGTGCAGAGTGACAGTTCAAGCGATTGTCCTCTGGACAGAGCTAATGAACAGCGACGTCTACATTTTGAGTCGCAGGAAAAGATGGTAGGGACATGGGACCATGAGTACTTAGTTGGCCTTCAGGTTTCTGTATAGAGCTTAATCACTCACAGCCACCTCCATCTGGTACAGCCAGACCTGGAAAATAAGGAGGCTGCACGCATCAGCATTCCTGAGTGCTGGCTCTGTGCCAGGTACTGGGAAAACCAAGACAGAGACGCTGCTCTAGGCTGTGAAGCAGCTGAGTCTGTTGTGGGGTCATGAGGTAAACAAGTGAAAAACGCTAGAGAACTGTGTAAGCACAATGTCTTAGGAGTGTGTAGAAGGGCCCTGACCAGCAAGGCTTCATAGGCTGGTGAGCCTTGATGGATGGGTACTGTGCAGTTGGAGGAAGGATGGTAGTGGCGGAAGGGGGGAGGGCATTCTAGGAAGTTGGAGGGTCCAGTGGATTTCAGGAGTCTGGGTGGACTGGAGGGAGAGGCCTGAATGTTATGGTTGTACAGCAGCAGGGTCCTTGAATGCTGGGCTGCAGGCTTTGGATCAATCTTCTGGCCTTGAGCCTCTGAGGAGGGTCTGAGTGGGCCCCTCTGAAGCAGTCTGGCAGGAATCAAGTACTAATGAGGTCCTGGCTCCTCTCTTAGAAGAGTGTTCTGTTCTTTGGATGATCAGGCCTACATGATTGCTCCCTGGGTGGTCACTGAGAAACTCATCAAGACTTCTCCTAACTAGAGGAGAAGGGACCCACCTCTACAGAATCTATAAAACAGTGTTACAAACAGGGTCCTAGTGACAAATGCCCAGCCATTCACGTGGTTCATTTAGGTCAGTAGGTGTATTTTTCAATTAACGACACCAATATAATTTTCATGTTAACTCACTATTGTTAATGTGTCCTCTTGTCATTCCCTGAGAAGTCAAAGGACAGAGTGTCATGAAAATGATAGATGGAAAAGATGAGATGAACTTTTGCCCAGCAGGCTATTAACCTTTGGTTTTGTTTTGTTTTGTTTTGTTTTTTATAGTTCTTTTCATTATCTTTAGCATGTGGAAAACCTTTCATTATGTTTTATTGTAAAGTGTAGAAGATGTGGGCTTTAATGAAAAGTGCCTTCTTTGATAGATAAAAGAGGATGCCAATCAGGCCCAAACCTAGAGGAATAAGGTGTGAAGGCTCACTCTAGTTCCTCTGTCAGACTGTTTTAGCTGGGTTCTCTGATGAGCGATAGCAATAGATAAGGGGAAATAAATAGACAATCTGTGTGGACTTAAGGCTTTTGATCATGGATAGCACCTAGCAACTGATTCTGCACTGACCTTAGAAGTAAACAATGCCAGCACCAGGATTGCTTGAGAGTTTAATAAATAATCTATTAAAATGAAGAGCTTGAAAAGCATTATTAGCATGACCATTGACACTGAAATAGATATGCTCGCTTTGAGTGTTCTGGAAGAGAAGAAGACACTTTAAAATGACCCTGAAGAATTAGAAAGATTAGATCACAAAACAGAAAGATATTTAAAGAGATCATTTTATGGCCAGAGATTTATGATGTACCAATTGGTCTTATTTCTTACGTTTGAACCATATTCATAACCCTGAATCTTTCTGATATTTTTCCAGATTTTGCAATCTGTTTTCTGGAAATGGTCTTAAATAAACCAAACGAGTGTTAATATAATGAAATAATTTAATTTTTCCAATTTTTCGGTATGCTCTATATCAATTTTTCTCAAACTGTGTTGAGAAGCCAGATTCTTAAATTTCCAACACTTTGCAAAATCATATATTTGTAAAATACGAAAGAATTGAAGTATGAGGAAGATGGAAAAAAAGAAAAGATGTACAAAATATAAGCCTCAATTTTTTTATTACAGGATTCAACAGATATAAAATCACTCTGTCAGAATGGTCAAGATGTTTCTAAATGGTTATTGAATTTTTCTCCATTTCAGAACTTGTGTAGTTGAGAACAGGTAATGGTTTTGGACTGGCATTACAGCACTGAGCAGCCCGGCTTAGACGCATAAACTCTCTGAGCAAGGAGGCCTTCAGTCCACCCGGTGATGTCCGCTGGGTGTGTGCTAGGGAAGAGCACCCCAGTATCCCTGGGCAAGCTTTCAAGATGAGTAGGTCACATTTCCCATCTCTAAAGGGCTGATGGTCTGATGCTAAATTTCCGGTGAGTCGGGACCTAGGTCACTCAACCTGACATAATTTTGTTGTGAGCCTCTTTTGTTAAGTAACTACTTTTAAATGTAAAGTAATGAATTTGATCATTTTAAAATGCTTTTATCCCCCCCAAAATCTGTTTCTAAGATAATGATTTTTTTTGTTGAATAATTATCCATGTGTATTCCAGTTCAAAGACTAGATCATCTCTTTCTTTTTAACTTATACTTGGAAATTCTCTCACAGTCCTATTTTTTTCCCCCCTAAGGAAGATTTGCCCTAGGCTAACATCCGTGCTGATCTTCCTCTATTTTTTAGTATGTGGGTGGCCAGCACAGCATGGCCGTTAACAGAGTGGTGTAGGTCTGTGCCCAGAACCGAACCCAGGTTGCAGAAGCAGAGAGTACTCAACTTAACCACTAGGCCACTGGGGCTGGCCCACATTGCCCGTTCTTTGTAGATTTTTTTCTTGTTGTTCAATAAGAAAAATATCCTTGTGCCTTTCCCTATAGTGCTAAACCCCACTCTTTATTATTTCAGTGCTTTGAATTCTAATACTATTTCTAGAAGTGATAATTATATCTCTTAGATTATCATTGGTTCATTTAATAAGTGTATAGTTAATTTTCTATACGGTAAAGTGGAAAATGTTAAATAGTACTAGATCCCAAATGGACCTCTTACAAAATCCTAGTTTATTAAGCTGTAAAATTGAAATGCAATTATTCATTGATTACTATTTCACTGAAACACCGCAATTACGCTGTGTGCATGTAACTTTATTATGACCTCCAGTCCTAGTTCATATCTACTCAGACTATAAGAGAATGTTACAAGAGACAATAAACTTTATTAGTGAAGAAATATGATGCCATTTCTGCCCTCTAATTTACCAGGCTATCACTATCGGAGGAAGAAATTATGAAACTTGGACAGCCTTTTGCTTCACGACGGCCTGTGAATTATTATCTCGCACTATGTGCTCTCCTCCGTGCTTGCAAATTGATTTTTGGATGATTTGTTCCGGTTTTTCCAGGTAAGGAAAATAAGCTGATGCCTGTGGTTCCAGGGTCATCGTTCATCCCATTTTTAAGTCTAGACACTATGTTTGCCCTTTTCAAGTCCTGTAGTGCTTCACCAGTGTCCTCTGTGAGTCCTTAAAAAAATCATAGCTGGTCACCTGATGAATCTTTCAGCCCAGTCCTCTGGCACACTAAGCTGTTAGCCCCACGCATTTGAATAAATCTATTCTTTTAAAATGTTTTCCAAGTAGAAGGAAGCAAGAAGACAGCATAACTAACAGACTAAAGATAGAAAACAGTTTACTTACAGAAGCCTATTTGGTTCTGATAAGAGAACACCAGCCAAATTTTGATAGGAAAGGTCCATTAAATATGATTTCTATTTTTTCTTATACAAAAAACAGCATTGTATTCAAATAGTGGCTTGCTAATTTTGTGCCCCGTCCCACAAAGGATGCAAAAAATGAACAGCAGTTGTTACTTTTACCAAGATTTTGACCAGAATTGCAAATCGATATGGCCCATAGAGAAGACCAGGCCCTTGGCAAGAGTTGGCTCAGCCCATCAGAACTGGAACCCATAAGCAGGTGCTAGGGAGAAGGACGCTGGGCTCAGTGAGGGCAGAGACGCACTTCCGCAAGAGCCCCAGGGCATTTAGTGAACGCTGAGTGAAGGATTGCACAGCACGGAGGTCAGCTCTCCTCGGGGTCAGTCCGGGGGGCCCCGTGGCTTCATCTTACCCCCGGGAGGTGTAGGTCTTTTCTGACTTTCCTTGGGATGCTCTCAGATGCTCCTCCCCGAAATCAGCTCTATGTCCTCACTCGCTGTGGGGATGAGATTTCTCACAGAACTCTTCGTAGATGTCCATTAACATCTCTGGATCACTCTAATGAGGGGCTTGGACCTTAGGGGAGCCCTGTGGATTTGCATGTAATCTCAAGGTGGTTTGCAACCACTGCAGTCACAAGAACCTGAAATACAGGTACCTATTCCTGAAAAGTAGGTGTGGAGCTAGTCTTCTGGCAAGCTCGACTTAAGGGTTAAATTGCTTATAAGATATTTAAGAAGAGAATATCTGTTTTTTGAAGCATATAGATGTTTACATACATAAATCTGGCTACTTGGAGCAGATAATTTTGCAAGATTTCTCCTAACTCCACATTTCTGGGAGAAATAGAATGCATGTTTTCTAGGCTTTTCAAACCATCTGGAGTTGTGGGGGTGGGGTAACGACATTCACTGAATGAAGCTCTAAATCCCTCTGTTGGAGTCAACCTTTGTTCCCCCCTTTTCATAGCAAAAGTGATAGGTAGAGCAGAGGTGTAATCTCCACCTCCAACTTTAAATACCAAACACCACCTCTACAGAGGCTCTGCTGCACAGCATTGATAATCTAGTTCTATTCAGTTCTCAAAGAGGGCCATTTAACACATGGGGATGCATCAGCTATGCCCAAGTTCCTAAGGACCAATGAACAGACCATCATATACTTAGCATACTTGGACCACAGCTCTGTCTAGCTTCATAGACTGAGAAAGTTCACTATGGTCACTATGCCTTTGTCTTCATGGGTTCACGGGGGTAAAACTTCCTTCTGTCAGAGGGAACGAGGGAGTATATTTGGTCACACTATGTATTTTGAGTTTCATTTGGCCCCACATGAAAAACAAATGTATTCATTTTGCCAGTATTGATGACCATTCTTGTGTTTCACTTTGGGCATATTTGGTTAAAACACTATATATGTATTCTTGGTCAAACCTGCATGTATGGAAAGCATGTCATTACAACTTGGTAGCATTTCTTATCAAGAGTTCAGTTGTACCTATTAGGGAATCTGCAGACACCAGTTTTGTGTTGCCAAGGGAATTCAAATCTTCACCGAAGGAATGAAAGAACTGGAAGGGTAGAAATAAAGGTAAAAGAAGAGAGAGAGACAGAGAGAGACAGAGAGAGTTGTCTCATCTTTTATCTAACTGCCAGGAAAGAAATGGGCACTTGGCGTGCCTTGAACTGAAGGTGACCTGGCAGGGCCAGCAGTAAGCAGCATTTTGTTATATAATTTACTGACCCTCACATACCTCCATCAAGGTGTCTGAGGCAGTTTTCCTCTTTCATACAAATCTCATGGTAACCTTTGCTCCCCAGTGGTTTAAATCACATTCTTAAGGGATTAAACTGTTATGACAAAAGAGGAATGTTTAGATACTGTGCTTTGCAGCTCAAAATTTGTCAGATTAGAAACTGTGTATTTTATAATCTTTAGATCAAAGAAGCTCTCCATCAAAGCTTTACGTCTACTACAATATTTTCCCAACCTTTGTTGAACCTGAATTGTTTTGGATTATCTCACATTGGGTTCACTGAGTATGCCTGGACTAATGTGGAGGGAAAAGCTTTCTTCCAAATATTTTAAACATTTCACATGTGCAGGGCTTGAGCACTAAGCTCCAGGTATTCGTTGGCGGAGGGGTGCAGCCTGCCCAGACAGTCTTTTTAACTCTAGTTTTATATGAGATCCTTTTTGAGATTAGTATGACAGATAAAACCCTACAGGGCAGCCGTTTATCTTCCATTAAGAACACTGCTCACTTTCTTTAACCGGCTGACCAGAGTGCTCCGTAAAGAGGCCTTTTTATAGAGTTTTTACATCTCGATGGATTAGGTATCATTACCCCGTTGGAAAAAGAACAGTTCAATTTTCTCAGAAGAATGGTTTGTCAGAGCAGAGCAGTTTGTCTTTATCCATCTCTAAATCCAGCAATCATGCTTCCCAAATAGGCACAAAGCAATGATCATTCAAAGTTCAAATTGCCAATTAATTTAGAATCTGCTCCCTGAATTCCTTTATTGTTGTACTGCCATGAGTCCAGTGAGGCAAGCAGGAGGTCAAGTTGACAGTATCTATTATAAATATCTTTGCGTGTTTATGGAGAAAAATCAAGGCAAATCTTTCAACAGAAGATATTTTCAAAATCATCTCTATTGATGGATGAAACATTTTTAAGGAAAACCAAAGTTAAGATAAAGTGCTTTAAAAATCACTTTTTTGATATAATGAACAGGAAATGCAAGGATGTAGCATGTGGACAATGTAATTTGATTGCATTTATTTCTGAAAGATATCTTTCATTCACATATCATAAAGTATAATGTACATTGTCAAAGAAGTGAATGACTTATCATCATATTCAGAAAAGCAGAAGACTTTAAATAAGAATGCTGCTTTTCCTTTAGACTATCACCTTTATTGTAACGCGTTGGTGTATTTCTCAAATGAGTCAATGAGGATCAGTAAAATTCATTGTATTACTCATAGAATTATGTTCATCACATGAATCCTACAGGAGACATTTCTTTCTGTTTTTAGTAATAGGAAGAGTTGTGACTCTTTTTAGCAACTGCTTTGCTCATAACTTAGGAGCACGGTGACTCCTGCAGTGGTCACTTCCTCCCCTCTTTCTGGCTGCTAGAACACTTCAGTCTACGTTCGTGATCGAGCTACAACACAGAGCAGAGGGATTTATGGCCCCATTTTGCAGTCTAACTTCACTCCAGATTCTATTTTACTTTTTAACCTTTCATATTACCTTTAGATTATTTTCATTTTGTTGCTGTTAGTGCCATCAAGTGTGTTCTGACTCCTAGAGACTCTGCGTATAGCAGAGCGGAGCCCTGCCCAGTCTTTCTGCGCCATCCTCTCACCTTCCAGCGCTCCATCAGACAATGCTCTGCTGCTCTTCACAGGGTTTTCACGGGCTATTTTTTTCAGAAATGGGTGGGCAGGTCCTTCTTCCTAGTCTGTTTTAGTCTGGAAGCTCCGCTGAAGCCTGTCCACCATGGGTGACCCTGCTTGGTATCTGAAATACTGGTGGCGTAACTTTCAGCATCACAACAATACACTGTTGCCACAGAGTGACAACCGACAGATAGGTGGTGTGTTCCCTGACCTGGAAACGAACCTGGGCTGTGACAGTGAGAGTGCTGCCTCTTAACCACGAGGCCACCAGGGTTGACTTTATTTTCATTACTTTTATTAATTCACCTCATTTTGCTATATTGTACACATCCTTGTAAATTAACATGCTCTTGAGAACAAAAAACGGTAAATTTAAAAAACAGCTTATTTTTCGTGAATAATCATGTAAAGTAAAAGGCAACAGTTGAAAATATGCTGACATGAGTGGGGCATGAAGTTGTATTGGTCCAGAGTGGAGACCAGGAGTCTCTCTCATTTTAGCAGGAGCTGTACGTCAGTATGTGTCTGCCCAGAGTCCTCCAACAGCTCTGGGGACCTTGTCTTGTCCCCACACCAGCCAGTAGGGCAGCAATAAACCTTCCCATACAAAGGTCTGTACTATGACTATAACGAGTTTCATGGTATCAGAAAATATCCTCTCTGTTTTTGAGGATCCCGTGCTTTGCTGAGAGAGATGGACTAAATATACAATAGAATTTCTATCAACACAACTAATGTTTATGTCAATATATACACAACTAATTGTAGTTTTACAGAGGTATCTTTATACCGTCATGGAAAGGAGCTGCTGGGATGGTTGAGAAGAAAAGAGCAGGGGAATGCTAAGTGCAACTATGGCATCTTAACTCAGAGCTCAAGGAGAATGTGGTAAACACTCAGCAGGACACTGTCATGCCTGGGTGACAAAGCCAGATTAGTGTGTATACCTGGGTTTTCTCCAAGGTAGGACCATTAGAAGGTTAAGCTGATTCAGTTTGGGAAAAGTTTTTTTTTAAATAAAAAAAAGGAGGAGATGTTTAAAATAACAGAATAAAGGAAATCACCACTTACTAATTTGAAAATTAATGTCCATAACAACTACTATTTATTGAATAGCATGTTGTCCTTGGTACTATGCTTTCCATTTCGTGGTCACTGTTACATATAATTCTTAAGACAGTCCTGAGACATAGCCGTCAATAGTCCTAATTTATGGATGAAGCAAACACACAGACCCACTTATCTTTGGGCACTCAGCAAATAATGACAAAATCAAGAACTGAGCCCAAGTCTATCTTCTTAACTGCCCAATGACATATTCATGGGCTATTTTGTGTTGACTCCTATGAATAAACTCCACTTTTATGCTTTTTAAAAAACGTTATTGAAATTTGCCTATTCTGGATATTTCATATAAATTAATCATATAACATGTGGCCTACTGTGACTGGGTCCTTTCATTTAGCGTAATGTTTTCAAGGTTCATCCATGGAGTAGCATGTATCAGAAGTTTATCCCTTTTTATTGCCTAATAAAGTTATACGATATGGAGATAGCACATTTCACTTATTCTTCTATCAATTGATGGACATTTGGGTTGTTTCCACTTTTTGGCTATTATGAACAATGCTGCTATGAACATGCAGGTTTTGTGGGGACTCATGTCTTCATTTCTCTTGGCTAGATACCTAGGAGTGGAAGTGCTGGATACTATGGTAACTCTATGTTTAACGTTTTGATGACCTACCAATCTGTTTCCAGAATGTCTTCACCATTTGACATTCCTAAGAGCAAAGTAAGAGGGCTCCAATTTACTTTTTTTCTTTTTTTTGAGGAAGATTAGCCCTGAGCTAACGTCTGCTGCCAATCCTCCTCTTTTTTGCTGAGGAAGACTGACCCTGAGCTAACATCTGTGCCCATCTTCCTCTACTTTCCATGTGGGACACCTGCGACAGCGTGGCTTGCCAAGTGGTGCGTAGGTCCGAACTCAGACCAAACTGATGAACCTGGGCCCCGAAGTGGAACATTCGAACTTAACAGCTGCGCCACTGGGCCACCCCGAGGGTTCCAGTTTATCCACATT